GGCAATCCGTGCCTATTGGAACGGATTAACCGGTTTCCAATGCATTCCTATGGGAAATGGTGTTTCACATAACAATGTTTCACATAACGTTTTTTTTAAACCAATTAAAATCGTTATGCGAGGCACCACTTTACATGTTCTTACACTGTAAATTTAAAAACAACTCTGTAAGCCTAAATTCATTCTGTCCTGGAACTATTTAATTCCTCAAGGATGGAATGATAACACAGTTCCCTTTATAATAATCAAATAAAACACTAACATTTTAATTCATTTACCCATTAATTATCAATAATTACTTGTTGAACTCATCAGATTACTTGAAAATTAGAAATTCTTTTTTCTTTCTTTTTTTCTTTCTTTCTTTCTTTCTTTCTTTTTTTCTTTTTTTTTTTCCTTTCCTTTTTTTTTTTTTTTTGCTTTTTCTTTACTTATCGTGCAGTGAAAACTTTACATGGTGCAGTTAAAACCATAGCACATTCCAGTCACTTATCACAGTAAAAGCATACCTACAAATCCTACATATTGAAAATTTTGCAGCTTTAACCATAGTAAAAGTCTGCTTGTATGTGTAGGCTTTTAGCAATTTCATTATTAACACATTCAAGATCAGACATGTTCTCTATCAGCTATAAACAATTTGTACTAATTATTCTTTTATTTCAAAAAGTTGTAGCTGTTTTTGTTCATTATACAACTGTTAAAGTATGTGAAATCTACCATTCAGTATTATATATGAGGAGATAAATGTGAAATACTTAATTTTTACATAGTATGGTCCACTGCTTTACCTAAATTATACACAAAGATTTGTCTACATGTATAGCCGTTACACTCATTTTTATTGAAATGATGGATTGGATTAGGGTGAACAAGCTGAAGCTTAATAATAATTAAAAAGACAGAAGTGTTCCTGGTCAAAAGGCAGCTCATGAAATAAGGATTTGGTCTCTGTGGGATGGAGTTATGCTACCCTGAAAATCAGGTTCAATTTGTGAGTGCTCCTAGATGCACCTCAAGCCTGGATGATCAGGTCTCAGCAGCAGCCTGATGCATAGTTAAAACTGATGCATCAGTTGCACCCATTTCTGCAAATGTCTCACTTGGCTACAGTGACATATGCCTTAGTTACATTTTGACTGGATTAGAGCAATGTGCTCTACATGGAGATGTCTTTGAAGAGTATTCAGTACAGCACCTGAATACTCTCCAAAACAGTGCAGCTAGACTGCTGGTCAGGGTTGGTTCTAAGGTTGGCTGCAGTCCATTCTAGGTACAATCCAAAATACTAGTTATGACCTATAAAACACTAATACAACATGGGTCCAGGGTATCTGGATTACATTCTCTAATGCCATGGTTCCCAACCTTTGGTGTCCAAATGTTCTTGGACTACAACTCCCAGAAGCCTTCACTACCACCTCCGCTGGCCAGGATTTCTGGGAGTTGAACTCCAAAAACATCTGGAGGCCCGAGGTTGGGGACAACTGCTCTAATGTAATCATAGGCTTTTGAGATCTGCTGGAGAGGCCTTTCTCATGATCCCACCATCTTCAGAGGCTCGTTTGGTGAGATCTCAAGGGAGGGCTTCTCTGCAGCAGCTTCCAAGTCCTGGAAACCTTGGCAAGAGAAGCTATGTTTGCCCCTTTCTACTCTCCTTTTGATGGAAGGCAAATACCTTTATTCATCTAGGCCATCATCAATTGGAATTGTAATATATATGCTAATTTTCTTGATTTTAAAGCAAACTAGCATTTGTATTTTTAATTAAGTATTTTAACTATAAATTAGTAACATAATAAATTTAATTCAGTTTTTATGTTTGCAATTTTATTCTGTTTTAATCTTCATTGTTTTGTAAGCCACTTTGGTCCCAGTTCTGGAAGAAAGAAGCCATTACAACAAATAAAATGGATTATTGAAAAATGACACAAGGACTGAAAGCTTTCTCCAATGAAGGAAATTCAGTATCTTGACCTAAAATTTTATATCTTTTAAACACTTCTATATTCGTGTATATTTTTGGGATGCAGCCTCCTGGCGCTTCCCTTGGAAACTGTCTGAACCCTTGCCCAAGGTTTGGTGATTTTTGCTCCACATGAAGGATGGAAAAAAGTGATACATGTTATATGAAGCTGCTTCGAGTCCCATTAGCAGGAGAAAAGTGGCCTATAAACAAGAGAAATGAATAGGAAACCATTCTGAAATTTTTAAGATTACGCTCTCGTATACCACTCATAAAACTGTGCACAAAAATGTGCTCACTGCACCTCAAGAAACTAGGAATCTTTTTTTTAAAAAAACTAGTTCATTAAGAAGTTGTAGTGAGAATAAACATTTTCAAACCATAACTTCTCATATTTTTAATAAACTTTAATCTTCAAAACCTCCTCAATTAAGCATGTTGAAAACAGTAGAAGTCAAAAGGTAATACTCTGTTATGAACAGAAATTCTTGAAACCATGCCGGAGAAGAATTTTATAGGGATTTCAGTTTTTACAAAATCAGTATGTAATAGAAAAGAAGGCTGTTTGTGTTCATTAATTTGGTAGCTTCTAGGCAACTGCATTTCCATTTACATGCAAATTCAATTCAAAATACAGTGTAGTAACCAAGAGACCCAGGAGAAAAATCTTTTGAGTTCTAACATGGAACTTAACATGGTGGATAAAATCTAATGTCATGGGAGTGAGTTTCCACTTGGGCATCATGATTTTTTGTCCTTCTTTTCTCTCCAGCAACCTCTATGCCCCCCATCAGCTACCTTGAGTACACTAACAGAAAATATTTGAGGGCACAGAGACCATAGGATGGAGAGTACATTGCAACCTCCCTGTTCCATAAAATGAAGGACAGCCTCTTTGGCTACAAACTAATATTACATTTAATATTATGTTAATGATGGCATAAAACTAGTTCTATAGAAAATACAGTATCCCTTTTGCGATGTTGTGTCTTAAATTATGTTTCAAGGCATCAAGAACTCGTTTCAGTACTTGTGTCAATACATTGACACATTCAATATAAACTGCACATCTATGCAGCAAAATTTACAGAATTCTACTTATTCTTATGTAGACCTATTTACATATTTGGAATTAAGCATGATTCATATCAAGCTTTATACATACAACTTCAATTTTCCAATCAAATGTACTATATAAGCAATTATCTCTTAAATATACATCTTGAACCATTACAGTACTACATACTTTAAACATATTTATATTATAAATATACAAATGGGATAACATGTTTACTACTAGTGGTCACTCACTAAATGTGAGATGAAACTACTGAAAAATGTCCTTGAACTTATTAATGCTGGCATTTTGGAATATTCATTGTCCCAAGTAACTTTTAGAGCTAACACACTCCAACTGAAATTCTGAAGTGAGGACTCACAAATAATATTTGAGAGACATTAATATTCTTCCACACAAATCCCCCCCAACTACCTAGTGGTTCAAATACTAGAGATGGCATAGCACTGGAATAATCTATGTGCATCAAATAACAGCCCTTCCTAGCACATCCTTCTCATGTAAGCAGATTATTTTTGTCTGGTGCAAACTATCTCTTAGTTGCCCAGAGACAATAATATTGTGCTTCATTATCTTTAGCACAGTGGTTCCCGACTTCAGCCCACCAGATGTTATTGGACAACCCTCAGCACAGCTAGTGGTGAAAGCTTAGTCCAAAAACATCTGGGGACCCAATGTTGGGAACCACTGGTTTAGCATAATCAGATCACAGACTCTTGTCTGCTCATGCCATTTTCTTTATCCCTTTACAACATCATGATGGCTCAATACATGGATAATATCTGAAAGCATAAAAACAATCTAGATCATTATTACATTGGATATAACAAAGTTGTTGCTTATCAGTTAAATGAAGGAGGAGCGCCTTGGACTGAAGTGCTCAGCCTGGATTAGAATCTGACATATAATAAAGGTTGCAAACATATGGTTTCCCAGGCTCCCTCAGCACACACACCAGAGTGTCATTTCACCCCCTCATTGTTTCAGGCTCCACCAGGTGTGGTTTGGAAGTGCTGAAGGGACACTGCAGCAGATGTATCCCACAAGCTGTGTAGTGCCCATCCCCATTGTGCTGGATTCCTAATGTACTCAATGGCTCATCTACAAAAGTTGTACCCTTTTTACATACAACCCCCCCTAAGCAAACAAACCATCCTATCTGTGCTTTAGGCAGCAGTTCAAACATATTTTGCCAAAGGAAAAAAAAATGCACATGTGGTTGAACTACCATCTCTGTATTAAACTGGCTGTTACATCGTTTGAAAACTTTGTGTAGATCTAGTAAACTTTTAACTTTTGTTATCTTGTGGATCAGCAATTTCCATTTGAAATTTCATTCTGCAAACTAATATAATAATGGTTATTTTTCCTGTTATATCTGCAGTATCTTTCTTTTTTAAAAACCCCAATGAATTTGTTCAGAAAAGCACTTGGGAAATTGGAGAGGGGAGGAGGAAGAGAGAGAGAGATATGAAAAACTTAAGAACAAGTATAATTTTACAAAAGGCCTCTTTGTGGCATATTATATGAATGAACTGTTCTCTTCCTCCTTAAAGTGCTACTGTCAGCCTGGACTTCAAACTGTCTATTGCTTTAACAGGTCTTTTAGTACTGCACCAGCACTAGCATCAGGTGCTACTGGCAATGGTGTAAAAGTGGGTAAGGCATCAGAAATAGGTTTCATAAGCAAATGGCCGGATCCACCAGTTCCAAGATTAGTCGGGGTGATGAGTGGTACTGCTGCGGATCGAGGTGCAAGGAATGGATTTGCATCTGGTCTTCGACTGGTTCCCAAGCCTGTTGGATCTGATAGAAAATGAAATAATACAGGGATATATTACTCAATAATTAATTTCTCTAATAAGACCACACTCTTAGCAACCCTCCACAGAAATAACCTCTACCATTTTGCCTCCAATTCTATGGTGTTTCAGCTGTTCTTTGACAAACAATAATATTTAAACAGAATCTTGTCACAGGCTGCAACAATTTGTATGAGGACCCCCTTATCCACGGGATACGTGCTTACTGATTCACTTACTTTCGGTCTGAAAATATTAATAATATTAAAAGAAAAAAATCCAGAAAAAACTATTTTTATGTGTATTACCAGAACCAGCAACAAGAGGGAGCAACAGACAGTGGCATGAATACTTGTTAGTAAAGACCACACAGCATGGGCTCTGGTGCCCTCTAGTACCCAGTTCTAGCAATATATGTGGAAAAAAAATTCTGTCCCCCCCCCTTTTACCATGCTATATTTCAACACTGTAACATTGATGGAATATTAATTTATAACTATGTAGATCATCAACATGTGCTCTGTCAAGCTAGGGTGCAAGGAAAGATGGAATCTGAAGGTGTAAAAATGTTGGTTTTCTTAAGTAAAACAAAGTGTTTCAACCAATAGATTGTTCTATGGCCTTCTTCAGCAGCAGAAAAGTAACAGCACCTACAAAGATTTCTAACAATCTGTTTCTAAATTCCATTAACTGACAAGTGGTTTTGTCACCACGGGAATCTTTTGAAGTAAAGCTATATTCTTGTTTCTATACTATCATAGGTTGTTTCATTACTGCCTCAAAAAATCTCACTATAGCTGGTTTCAATCCATGGAGACAACACTCTTCCCTTGAGAGGGCATTTACCATATACAGTACTTTTGTCTCATTTACGTTACAGTGGACCCTTGACTTACAGACGGCTTGACTTACAGACTTTTTGAGTTACAGACTTCTCTGGCCGCAAAATTGAGGTTTGACTTGCAGCCTGAGAATTGACTTACAGACCAGAAAAAAACCAAAATGGAACAAAAACGGCCTGTTACGGGATTAATCGGTTTTCAATGCACTGCAGGTCAATGGAGACTTGACCTACAGACTTTTTGACTTGAGAACCGCCTTCCAATACGGATTAAGTTCTCAAGTCAAGACCCCACTGTATAAGCCCTCAGAGCATGCAAATGTCATACAAAAAAGTGGTATAGCAGTCTTTTGAAAAAAAAATCCTAAAGGAATTGTACTGGTGTAGTGGATATCGTGAGGTCTAGTATGGTAAGGCATTACACATACACAGCTTTCCATATGGAGAAGTTTAAAATTAATCCCAGTTTTCTGCAATTTTTATACAAGAATGTGAACAAAAATAGAGCTTTTCATTTTAAAACAAACCTAAGACTCTCAGGAGTTAAGAAATATCAACATTACAGATAAATCTTTCATTTATTGTGAGTGAGCTGGGAAATATGTATTTATGTCTGTTAATCTATTCTTAATATCTTACATATCTGAACAATTAAGGGACATGGATGCATGTCTGGTTCTATAAAGCAACAATCCAATTACTGAATGGACAAAGTCCCACCAAACATTTTGTGCAGACAAGAAAACTGGGTGTCTGCCAAATACAACAGGGCACCTTCACATTATAACACAAGTGACAGGAGAACAAAAAGGCGTATAAAGCATACATTTACTGAAAAGGCATACTCTTGAAGATAAGCTTTCAGACTGGAAATTCTCCAACTTCACTGCAACAGTTTGAAGCCAAGCATTCACAAAGGCTAAACCTTTTCCACAAAGAGCAAAGATTCAAAGTTCATGGGCATATAGTAAAAATGGTAAACTAGCAAGGCTTTTCAGACGCTATCTGCGAACATTGACTTGCCATCAAGTGCTGTGGTAAAGGGCTCGTCAGTGGTTGCAGAAACTGTCTGCAAAAGCATTGCTGCTTTGCTCTTTTGCTCATTTTACTTGTTATTCTCCTTTTGCAATCCAAACATCTATATAAATAAAGCTTCAAAAATCCAGCATTCAAGTGACAGACATCACTCTAATTTAATTCAAATATTTAATACAAGCTTTTCTTATTCTTCTGAAAATAAGCAATATTACCTGTCATGTTGCTGGAGGGACTTGTACTGGGTTTGCGAATTCCTGTTGCTTCTAAAGGTTTCATGTCATGAACAGACAGTTTAGGTGGGGGAAGAGTTGGACGAGATTCTGTTTCAAGGAACTTCACAAATAGTTCGGAAAAAGACTGAAAAATTAACCAAATGCAAATAACATTATAAAAAATATAAAACATGTTTGACTTATCATTAAAAAGAAGATTTAAGCCCAGTTGGTACACAGTGCTAGTTAGTATCAATATAATATTTTAACATGTACACCTTGCTTGACTTCAGCAATAAGTGTGTCTTGCTATTAGCCAATTCCCCGCTGATTTGAGAGCAAGCATCAAGGATAGTTGTAGCTTTAAATTATCAGAGGATAAAGTTCCGATGTGGCAAAGAAGGCATGATATTAGATGCTGCATTGGCAGCAAGAGCAGCAGCAGCAGCTTGCTTACTTACTTACTTACTTAATTTATTTATTTATTTATTGCACTTATCTGCTCCCCTCACCAAAACATGTGTCAGAGAAATATTGCAAAAATAACAAGCAATTGATGGATAACTATTTTTACAACTGAGCATAAACAGAGTTCTGACTCCTGTCCTCTGAAGATGCCAGCCACAGAGACTGGCAAAATGTTAGGAAGAAAATCCTCCAGAACATGGCCAAACAGCCCGGAAAACCCACAACATCCATTTTTACAAGGCTTCCTGGTACACTACAATCTACCATGTATGTATTCTATGCTTCTTGATTATATATATGTCACACATTTATTTTATGTAGTGTTTTATGTTAAATGTTTTATGACTACTACACAGTGTTTTGAAATTGGGATGACCACCCTATAATGCTCCACAAATGGGGGAAAAATATAGTAATGGGGGAATGGTCAAAAGCCTCTGAGGGATACAAATGGCCATTTAAAGATTAGTTTTAGCCCTGGTGGCCCTCTTTTACACCTGTAATAGTCTATATAAAAGGCTGGAATTGACTAGAAGAGCTCTTCAATATTTGCAAAAATAGGCCAGATGGGGACAGGTGACCCAAGAACCTTGGTAGCTTCCCCGCCCCTGCGGCTTAAAAATTGCTTGTAAATAAATAAAGCAAGAAAACAAATACAAGTGTGGAAACATGAATACCTTTATGTCTTCTACAAGGGTAATAACCCTGGCTGTCAGCCCTTACAATTTGCAACTCCCGCAAATTGTAAAAAAACAGCTAATGTAAAATACTTACACTGTTAAAGACTGACTGCTGGTTTGGTCTCAGAGGTGTGTTGGGGACACTCTTTGACACAGCGCTTCCTCCAAACCACCCAGTTACCCATCGAGCAACACTTTTCTGATCTTCTGACAGTAACTGGAAAGCAAATTAAACCCAAAGAACATGTTATAATGCACATGCATTAAACACCTGCAGCACATATGTAGCTAGATCAAATCTAACAGTGATGGTTGTAAGGAAATTTTCTTCTCCTTCTCCCTGTAGCCCTCTACGCCATCCAAAGACTGTCTCCAGAGGGGTTTTCAGCTCTGCAGAGCTAGTTCTGGAAATGTATCACAGTACTGCAAGGTACTCATCCATTCTGGTACTGCTGGAACACACACCCCTCCAATTTTACCAGGATGATCCACCAATGGGTGGGCCCCCACTGCATGTCCATTACTAGATTCTACCTTATTATTAATATTACTGGTGGTAGTAGTTTATAAGCAAATAACTGGGGTCAGAGATGGAGGGGGGGTGAAGTCTTTCAAAAATCCATGTAGAAACTATGACACAAGAAAATTTTGACAATTATAAAGACCAAAACTTTATAGAAAATAGTTTGTAACTACCCACTCTCAGCACAGAATTTACCTGGTCTTTTGTTCCTTTAAAATAGATAGCTCTGTTTTATGTTCAATAGCTTCAAAAAACCAAGAACACCGTTTTACAATTAGATTATAGCAGGATCCAAAAAAATATAGGACAGTGGTGATCTATTGAAGAAAGCTCTTTTTTAACTTGTACTAATGAACTATCTAAAGTTTATAAAACCTAGTCTGTGTTAGAATTTCATCCAGATCCTACACTGCAAAAACTAATTTCAAATAGGCAATATGAGTAGCTTTGTAAGAGTTTAATACAAATTATCAGCAAAAACTAAGATTGTTTTAGTTTAAAATAAGATCATAAAATGCGTATAAAACATTTTCCACTTCAGACTAGCAGATAGCCAAGACACTGACTGTAGTCCAACAGCAGATAATACATTGCCCATTGACAGTGCTACAGAAAAAAAAATAATGACATGAAAATGAGAATTACCTCCTCTAGTTCATCTTTTTTTATTCCTAGGATACTTCCCATGAGCCTCAGTACTTCATGACGTTTGTTCTTTGGGGTATGAAAATGGCCAATGAAAAGATTTCTCATCAAGACCCTACCAAAATGGAGAAAAGGGAAAACATTACTTGACATTGCTAATAACAGAACAAAGATGGGAGTTCAATCGTTAAGGAATTAATCTTGCCATTACCAACAGCTTTTAGATAGTAAGGATAGCTTTTAGATAGTAAGGATTACACATAATATTCCACAGAGAATCTACTTTAGAACAAGAAATATTTTGCTGTTTTATGGAAGTTGGAAGCAATTTTAACATTTATATGTAATGAAGGGTCAAGACAAATGTGTTTCTTAAGATATATGCCAAGCACAGAACTAGTAATTACTATTCCAGTTCTTTATTTACACATTTTTGCTCTTGCTCTTTACTTATAGCATAATCATCATCTGCATGACATAGATTTAGGACCTCAATATTTGGCAGAATGCCTGCTCCCACCAAGGTCTACCCAGATCACTCATGCAAGTCAGGAGGTGAGGCTGAGGAGCCTGACGCTGAGAGAGGCCCGGAAGGAAAAGACACGAAACTGGGCCTTCTCGGTGGTGGCTCCTCGCCTCTGGAACAACCTCCCTTCAGAGATTCGTGTGGCCCCTACGCTGGGAATCTTTAAAACCCAATTAAAAACATGGTTGTACATCCAGGCCTTCCCTCCAGTCAATACCTGATTTCCTTTCTATTCCTTCTTATTTTATTCTCACTTTATTTGATTGTAACTGTATCAAATGATTATGTAATGTTCTTGTGTTTTATTATTTTATCCTATACTGGAAGCCGCCTAGAGTGGCCGAGTAGACCAGATAGGCGGGGTATAAATCAAATAAATAAATAAAATAGATTTGTCCATTAAAAAAAGGAGCTATATGACTGGAAACGTCTGCTTAATGGTAGAAGACTGAGCTAAGATATTGATTCTCAGAACAACTGCACTTAAATTAATTGCTCTGCAAGCAGGTCATTTCAGAAAAAACTATTCTGCAAGTGCATCTCCAATATTTGTATATTTTTATTCCCTCTAATAAAAAATTAACCAGGATTTCCTCCTCAATAGTTAGTTTTACCAACTGAACACCACAGCAAAAATACAATCTATTTTTTTAGTATTCCATGCCACAACGACTATTCTTGTAACACGTTTATTATAACAATAGCACCTCTCAAGTTAAAGAATTTACATTCCAGATATAACAGACTTTTTAAATTTAAAAATCACTCACTTGTCTACTTTTCCTTCTGTGCTGTTTATGAGATTCATAAGCTTGTTTTGTGCATCATCCAACATTTCTTGTTTTATTTCACCTACACAAATAAATTACATTTTTGCTGTAATAAGCAGACAATAAACAATACCTACATATTGAAAGAGTGTCCTACAAAAAAGGCTTTCTCTTGAGAACATTTATTGATAAAAATTTAGCCATGATCATATTTTTCCATATTTGAATGGCAGATTTTATAATGGTCAAGGTTTACAAGAATTTGATGATGCAATGAAGGCAAGACAAAGATTACAATACGTTGCTTTTAAAAATGTTCAAAGCTTTCTGTCCAAAATTTCCACCCAGTGAAAAGGATCAGAAATTGGCTCAACATAAATACTGTTTCAAAGTTGTTTCAGAGTAAAATGATACGTGGAAGAAACTTTAACTACATTAATACCTTTCAAAATCAGTTAAAATGTCTGTTACATTACCATGATAGGGTACAGAGTCAGCCAAAGCACACAGACAACCACGGTATAAATTCAAAATACAACAGCAACCAACTTTGCAGGAAAATACTACACGAATTTGAGACTGTTTCTATCTAGTTTATAACCCTATCTCTTAATCCTTTCAAGTACTGCTCAAGATGGTATTGTATGACCTAACGTAACAATGTCAGAGGGGAGGAAATCTGAAGTGTTATCCTCTGTATCTACAAAACATACAACAAAACAGAAGATCAGTGAAAGAAGTAATCAAATGTTCATTCTATCCCCTAGAATATGGTTCTGATTCTTAAAAAGTGAATGTGAGTACATGCTGATTTGTTTATTTAAACAGGTGTGGCTGGCAGACAGCACCCATTTTATAAAAGTTTCTGATGCCTATGAGTTGAGACTTGCCAGTAGAGCCGAAGATTTAAAGACATCAGCATTCATCTGCCAGTAATAAAGAATTCACTGTGTGATAAACACAAAGACATATAATTATAGAAAAAATCTGAGCAGAATCTCTATTAATAAATATCTGGTTCTACAAGCATCTCCTTTTCCTGTCTCCTGGCCATCTTATAATTTATTTATTTATTTATTTATTTTAAAACAATGAACTCAGCTGGCCCATCTTTTCTTTCAATACAAACAAAATGGGAAAGGAAAGGCCAACAAAATGTTAGACAACGACTAGGGAAATTTAGATTAAAATTCTTAGTTCACCAAGTGTTATTGAATCAATCATCATATTTTAGCACAACCCATTTCACAAGACTGTTGTCAAGACAAGTGGATGTATGACTGCAGTAGGGGTGGGAACCATGAAAAAGCCACCTTTACCTCTTTGAAAGGAGGAAGATTTATGGAATAAATTGTTTTCCTTTCATACAAATGGCAAGTTCCATTCTGTATTATACTAACGGTGAATACCTATCTGGTTCTACAAGCATCTCCTTTTCTTGTCTCCTGGCCATCTTATAATTTGCTTAGAGAAGGATATAATAACATATTGAATGGCTATTAAAAGAGATAGCTACATTTCAGGATAGGCTTCTTTAATCTAGGCATTTATAATATTCTGCCACATGCCAACCATTTATGGAAATTCAAAAACCTGTATCTGGTATGCCTTTTATTTTTCCATTAATATAATTTCTTCTGCCAAAAAAATCCATTTAAAAATTCTTTAAACAGTTTAGGCCAACAAGTATGTGTCTGGGAATGCATCTGGCCACTGTTCAAGAAGACATTATATGTTTTCTTGTATAAATCTTTTGAATACAGTTTCCTTTGTTTTTGTTTTTTTAAGTCTTATCTGTTGGGTGGTGGGAATGGAGGAGAGCTCCAGCATAACAACAATTTGTAGCAGAGGTGTGTTACATAGAGAGACTTTTACAATTTCGATTACACGTGGTGCACTTGCCAAGGTGTTAATACCACTGGTGAGCAAACCACAAAAGGAGACTAAGTATGGACAGCTAACCCCCAACTCTATTAATCTGTTCGCAAATTCCCTCCACAAATGGTAAAGTACATTAACTACACCATGTATTCTTCTCATCACTGTACCAATAGCTATAAATAGGAAAGTGATAAACTGAAGAGTTCTCTGTCCAGGTCTCCCATCCCTCACCAAAACCACTGTCACAGGTAGAGCTGGAACTCCATCTGAACCTCTCTGTTCAACCTCAACTGACCTTCTCCAAGAACTAAGAAATATAACAACATAGAACTACAAATACAGTACATGGAATATTTCTCCATTCGCCATTGCGAATGGTAGTTTATTCACTGAATATTAGAGCAAAGGGCATATTTGGTAATACTATCCCTACAAGTAAAGGCAGTTGTGTAATCTACTTCTGAGTTTTCTAGAACCCAAAGACCCACCAACTCTGGTGCAAAAGATACAGCATACACTTAGTATTACAAAATTTTCAACACATGAATATGAGTACTAATAATGAACAAAGTTCGTATTCCTTTCATACATACTCAAGCACCTATTTCTACTTACCCCAAGCCTTAATTTCACAGTATACTTCTGGGCAGGGAAGGGAATAGAGTCAAAACTTTACTGCTATTTTTGATATCAGGAAATCATAAATCTTTGTCAATCTTTTGCAAACTGCTCAAAGATCAACTCAAATCCAGATCTCCCTGCTACCCATCCTTGTTTTATACAGTACAAATATATGGCATACACTCAAGGATATAACTTGGTTGGGTTCAAGACACACACCTTCCAGAATCACAGCTTCTGGAATGAGCAACATGTTCCCTCTGTCCAATTTAGACTAAAAATGACTTAATTTAGCTTACAAAACTTAGTGGGTCCAGTAAGAACCGTTGGTCCTTAGACCGAATCCAGTTGAAACAACTTTTATTCACAGGTTCTAAGAATTCATGTTAACCATTATGTACAAATATTTTTTTACAAATATATACTGTATTTTTTGTACCATAAGACTCACTTTTTTCCCACAAAACAGGGGTGTGGAAAGTCTGTGCGTCTTATGGAGCGAAGAAAACAGATTATATTTTCCTGTTTTCTTCTCCTAAAAAATTGGTGCGTCTTATGGAAAGGTGCGTCTTATGGAGCGAAAAATACGGTATTTAACCTCATCTCATATAAGCACACTATGGATTTTATGCACACATTTTATTTTGCAGGGTATGTGTATATGATAATGTGGAGAGCAAGCTGTATGGACACCAGGCAGCTTTATGAAGTGAGTATAAGTCTTAGTTTGCATAAATGTTGATTCACCACTTAATAACTGATACCATGAGTCTACTCTAGTTGAGACTTGCAATGGCATTTAGATCCTTATCTGCAGGATCCTGCTTACAGTGGCATTTCCTTTATTATTCATACTAGAATGTAATACAATGCCAGGGAAGAAAGGAGTTGCTGGGAATGGGCCTTTAAGTACACAGATGTCTACAAAAGCAGTACTGTATAGGGCAATGTATGAATGACACCCTTTCAGTGGCTTTTCAACACTAAGGTTGATTCACTCAACTATATATTCTGGATGTTTTCCAAGAGGCAGATTCACCCAACACTAAAGCATGTCAGACATCATCATAAATTAAACGAATCAATTTACAGTAAATTGCTAGCCAGCCAACAAAGAACATGGTCTTCACAGAAAAATAGCTGGACATATTATTGGATTTTTGTTCTAGTGAAATATGCTAAAACATTAACTTTTTAAAAACAAATTCTCTATACTTCAGAGTTTTTCTGGTGGCCTTTAATTAAACCACTAACTGATTTTCTTTCAACAGCTACTTATCAGCTGCCATCTTTCTTTATCACTCTATCAGATATTGTGGGGCAGCCACTCCCAACAGCGTAGCCAACACAGTCAGTGTAACAAATGCTGAAAGCCACAGTCCAGCAACATCTATGGTCTATACTGGGTCCACTCCTGTTCTGGACCAATCTATTACAGGTACATTAGAGACCAGATGGCCGGGTTACACAGAAGGGCAATCCTTGATTCCTGCAGCAAACATGATGGAATTATGCCCTGTCCAAGGGCATGACAGTCAACCATGGGCAACTTCTGGGACCGCAGCCATAGCAAGAGACCAGCTGAAGCAGTTTTGCTGCATTTTCCTCAGCTGTAGTAAAGCAAGAAGACCAATAGCTCTCACTTCCACCTTTGCTCTTAAATTACATCTTAATGGAATAAAGTAGAGTGGTGCCTCGCAAGACAAAGTTAATTGGTTCCGCGGTCAATGCTGTCTTGCGAAAAATTCGTCTTGCGAGGCATATTTTCCTATAGGAATGCATTGAAATTTTATTAATGCGTTCCTATGGGAAAAATGTTTTTAAAAGTAATTTACCAGGTAGGGAGCTGGGGAAGCACCATCAGAGGACTGGCGGGGGGGTCCCCTCACCACGATCGCCAGCTTTGGAGGTCCCCTGCCAATCCTCTGATGGTGCAGGAAAAGCCTTTGAAGTGCTCTGAAGCCGGCGCACGCGGTTGCGGGGCACCCCCGCCAGTGTTCCGATGGCTTTCTCTGCACCTTGGAAGGTAAACAGGCTTTTTTTCTTTTTACCTTCCAAGGCTTGCCGAAGGCAGGGGGGAAAGGGTGGGAACTTCAAAAATGGTGCCGGGCAAACCTCTCAAACGCCCATTGCCGCGCAGAGGGATTCCCGCAAGTCCTGAGATGGTGCAAGGTAAGCCCCGGGGGACCCCCAAAGCTGGGGAACGGCGCTTGCAGAGGCTAGCCCAGCACCCCGCATGGCAAAGTGCCACTTTCAGAAGCCTCCCGGGGTTTCGTCTTGCGAAGCAGGGCCATAGGAACAATAGTCTTGCGAGGCACAAAAACCCTAGCCAGACCCATTTGTCTAGCGAGTTTTTCATGCCATGAGACGTTCGTCTATTGAGGCACCACTGTATACTGCTCCCTGTGTAGCAACTTCTTTGAATCTTTGTGACGAATGAAGGGAAAATATTTGACCAATCTGCAAATCCTAGTAAAAAGTATTGTTTAATTATAACGGACTATGTAAAATGAAAACAAGCTGTGTGTGCCAAATCCAACAGGGCAACTCAAAAATCAAAAGGAGTCTTAGCATGTAACA